GGTGTGAGACGGAGCATTGCGTGGACCTGACTCCTTTCATTCCACTCCTAAAGCTAAAAAAGCGACTTGCTAAGCCGATAAAACCCTTTCTTTTTGAAACGTTCTTTTATCAGGAAATTAAAAAAGGCGCACGCACCCACCGCACAACAGGACAAAGATCGAGGTCTTCAGCCCAGGTAACCTGTTGTGATCACCGGTACGGTGCCGCGAACAACACGACAGTCCCCCGACTCGCTTCTATCTCTGTCTGTGATGGAGTCCTTCCAAACTCGTCAAATAATCAATTAAGACTATTCTGTGTGTGTGAGTGTGTGTGTGTGTGTGTGTGTGTGTGTGTGTGTGTGTGTGTGTGTGTCTGTCTGTCTGTCTGTCTGTCTGTCTGTCTGTCTCTCTCTCTGTCTCTGTCTCTGTCTCTCTCTGTATGTGTGTATGTATGTATGTATATGTGTGTCTGTCTGGCCTTGTTGCACACACACACACACACACACACACACACACACTCTCTCTCTCTCTCTCTCTCTCTCTGTGCGACGCGCGCTCACAAGCCGACGCCTGCGCGCACACACGCAAACAGCACGGGTTTGCGGATGACGAGGAGCGAACGCGCGTGTTTGAGGAGTGGCTGCAGTGTTACATGAAGCTGAACAAGGGGAAGGATGCCCTTGGCAGAACTATCTGGTACGCCCATGCACGCGCTTCGCTGCTGCTCCTACTCCTACTGTTGTTGTTGTTGCTGCTGCTGTTGTTGTTGACGTTGCTCTGCTATGGGCATGCACCTTCAATGCGCACACGCAAACTCTCTCAGTCACACACACACACACATTCACTCAGCTACACGCCCACACTTACACTCACATACTCACTCACATACAAATGGCTAGGTTTGGCAGTGGGCTGCGAAAGGCGCGGGCAATGGCGGCAGATGCAGTGGCGGTGGTGAAGCTGATGCAGTGGCGGTGGTGAAGCTGACAGCGGCAGCGGAGAACAACGCGAGGGAGACGGAAGCACGAACGACAGACAAAGAAGAGTAAAGAGGAGGAGGAAGGCACGGGAGAGGAAGAGGAGCAGCCCCGTAAACGCACAAAGGCAGCAACCACAAAGGCAGCAACAACAGTGGCCAGCAGTAAGAGGAGGAAGCGGAAGAGCGCAGCAAACAAGCGCCGCACAGCGAGGGAGAAAGGAAAGCCAACAGGTGCACGCACTGTATCATCTTCCTCGTTGTCGCAGTCGCCATCATCCTGTCGCAGATCACCTCGCCTTGCCCGTGTTCACTAAATCCTTAAGTCAGCCAGCACCGCTTGGTGTGTGTGTGTGTGTGTGTGTGTGTGTGTGTGTGTGTGTGTGTGTGTGTGTGTGTGTGTGTGCGTGCGTGCTGGGTTGTTGCGCGGAGTGGCTGGTTCTTAGCGTGGCTCAAGCCACAAGTTAGCATAATAACATGAAGGCTCAAGTTGTAGCTTCGTCCATGATGTCCTTTCACTCAGTGTCACATCACGGAAGCAGCAAGAATAAAGCAAAATGCTCACTTGTTTGCAAACAAACAAGAGAACCAAGAACAGCATCACCCTCAAACACTCAGGCACACTGACAGAGCCACACATGGCCATTCACGAATACTATTCGACACACACACACACACACAGCGCCTAAGCGCGCGTGATGAACACGATGGTGATGATGATGGAGACACATGTCGCAACCAAGCTCACAATGGCTGATGGCTCGCCTTCTTGTCCAAGGACAGTCAAATAAATGACCTGCACCGAGAGCTGCGGGATGTCTTCACAGAACAATCGCACCAGTTTCAGCGCAAACGATACCCTGTCTTCCACTTCGATACAGCCGCACGGTTCCATCTCCACCGCATCTGCTGGCGGGGGAGGGTTCCTTGTTGGTTTCTGCCCGCCGTTGCCATTATCATTGCCATTATCATTGCCGTCGTTAGTGACAAACGCCGGATTGAGGATGACGCCGGGTTTTCCCGCCTGGCCATCAGCAGCCAACTCATTGCCCAAGTGAACGATGTTGCGCCTGCGCCAGTACTCCACCATCTTCCTCAACGTCTCAACAACAAATACGATAGAGCCAAGGACAATGGACGCAAACGCCGCCCAGACCAAGGCCTGGTAGTTGCCGCCATAAAACCCTCGACATGTGCCGCTTGCACCGGGAACAATTTCGCACGTGCCTCCATTGCACTCACACTCGTTTGTTCCCGTGGCGTTGGGATGCTCCGCATTCAGGTACCCGCACGTGGCGTTCACATAATCGTCCAGTGACCCAAAGGAGGTGCACGACTCGTCTAAACTGACAGCAACGACTGCCCCTTCCACTCTCGTGGTTGTTGGGTTGCACACATTCTCAATGTTTAAGAAAGCCCCTTCCTCAGCAAACTCCACCAGGCCCGTGTAGCATGTGTGTCGGTGGCACTCGCACTCATTCTGCGCATCTGAGGGAGCGAACGCAATGCCCTGACACGGGCTCTTGAGGTCGCCATACCCGTCACAGGCAAAGCCAGCGCTGGCACCTTCACACCGGTAGACAGGCTCAGACGTCACGCAGTTGTAGCTGTCTTTGAAGCCGGTCGCTGTCAGGGCAATGCCCCAGAACCCCCAGTCCGTGCACATGTCAAACAGCGAGATAATTACCAGCAGCATCCACAGCTTCGTTGCTTGCTTTCGGAACAGCCAGAAGAGCAGCACGGCAGCTCCGCCACACACGCCAGCGATCACGCCGTAAAACGCGTTGGTTCGAGATTCAGCTTGCTGGGAGGTGTCGGTCCGCACCACATCCTGGGCTTTCAAAATGGCTTCGCCGTCCTCTGTCAGCCGGCACGTCCAGATGTACTGTTCCTGCTGTTGTGCACCACCCGTGCCGTTCATCGTGGGAGATGTCGTGGCAGAGGTGGTGTTTCTGATCACGCATGCACCGTCAATGCCATCAGCCGTGCAGACGCCAGCTGCCAGCCGTAGGTCATCACAATCATCCGCGGGAACGGCCTCGCGCGTGCAGTTCCACGGCTGCGCACCGTGGTTGATGCTGAGCTCCTCCAGGCTGCACGGCAGGTTGTGGGTGAGCGCGGTGATAGCCTGTCCGGTACGCAGCCTTGCCTTGGCTCGACCTTGAATCAGCGCATCCCACGGGTTGGCGTCCAGGATGAGGAGGCTGAGCTGCGTGGGCCACTGCACGTGCTGAGAGAGGTTACCAAGCCTGTTATTCGTGAGCGCAAGTTGCTGCAGCGAGGGTGGCAGCACAACGCCATCCAGGCTCTGGATGTCGTTCGACGACAAGTCCAGCACAAGCAGGGAAGTGGCGTTTCGAAAAGCAGCGCGGCTGTCCGTGTCATTGAAGGTGATTGCGTTGCGACCGAGCCGCAAGTCAACCAAGCCTGGGGGCCACGCCTGGCGACCAATGACGGAAATGGCGTTGTTGTCCAATCGCAACTGTTCAAGCGCAATCGGCCAGCGCTGATTCGCCACGGTGGTCAGGCGGTTCCCTCCAAGGGTAAGGACCCGTATGGTGGCGGGCCAGGCCTGGTTGCTGGTGCTGTCAATCAGGTTGTTGTGCAAGTAAAGCACAACCAGCTGCGAAGGCCACGCTTGGCCCTTGATGCTCGTAATCTCGTTGCCGTCAAGGCCGAGCCCAGTTAGAAAGGGGGGCCAGGTCACGCTGCTGATGCTGGTGATACGGTTGTCGCTGAGTCGAAGGGTGAGGGGTTGCGCAGACGGCCACTCTTGCTGGGATATGTCCGTGATCAGGTTCGATTCCAAGGAGAGAATGCGCAGCTGGTTTGGCCATCGTGTGCTGTCGATGCTGGTGATGCGGTTGTTTGCGAGCCCCAGCCTCTCTAGCGCACGCGGCAAAGTGTCTGCGTTGAAGCGCTGCAACATGTTGTCGTTCAGGCTAAGCTTGCGAAGGCTGGCGGGCCACGTTTGATCATCAACGGTCGTCAGCGCGTTTGCGTTGAGGTTCAGATCAACCAGCGTCTCGGGCCAGTGTTGAACGCCCAGTTGCGTAATGGCGTTGTCGTACAGCGCCAGCAGCAGCAAGCCCTCCGGCCATGTCTGACCAACGAGGCTGGTGAGGAGGTTTTGTGCAAAGTAGAACCGCAACAGGCGCTCTGGCCAAACTTGCCCCTCAATGTCTTGAATAAAGTTCTCGGAAAGGGACAGCGTCTCCAGCGACGCAGGCCAGACCTGTGTGCGGATGGTGGAAATGCGGTTACCGTCGATCGTGAGCTCCTCCAAGTTGCGCGGCCACGCCTGGTTCTCAATGTCGCTGATGCAGTTGTCGCTCAATGACAGGATGCGAAGTGTGGATGGCCAAGTCTGCGTTGCAATATCGCAAATCGCATTGCCGCCCAGGTGCAACTCTTCAAGAGACTCGGGCCACTGCTGGGACTCAATGTCGTCGATGTCGGTTGCCTGGAGGTGTAACAGCTTCAGACCTGCGGGCCACTGCTGTCCTTGGATGCTGCCGAGTGGGTTGTTGTGGAGCCAGAGGGTGCGAAGGGTGGCTGGCCACTGCTGGTTGGCAATGGACGTGATGCCGTTCTGCTCCAGGCTCAAATCCTCCAGGTGTGGGGGCCACTGCTGGTCGTCGATGCTGGCGAAGGAGTTGTTCTGCAGATGAAGACTCTGCAGTCTCATCGGCCAGTGCTGTCCGTCAATGCTTGTGATGTAGTTATGCGGCAGCGACAGAACGCGCAAGTCCGCGGGCCAGAACCCAGGAGCAGAGGGCAGGCTGGTGAGAAGGTTATTGTGCAGGAAGAGTGTTTCGAGCTGTGGTGGGAACACTTGATCGTCGATCGTCGGGAGGCTGTTGTTGGCGAGCAGGAGGTTGCGCAGGCTGCTGGGCCAAAGCTGTTGACCCAGGCGGGTCAATGCATTGTCAGCGAGATCCAGCAACTCGAGAGAACCTGGCCAGGACATGATTGGAAGCGTGCGGATGGAGTTGTAGCCCAGTGACAGGCGCCGAAGCGTCTGCGGCCACTGCTGCACCGACACCTGGGTCAGGTTGTTGTTCTCCAGCCGCAAGAGGTCCAGACGCAAAGGCCACACCTGGGGGCCCAGCCGCGCGATGGTGTTATTGTGCAGGTGAAGCAGCTTCAACGAGCGTGGCCAGGACACCCCGTCAAGAGTGCTGATGCGGTTGTTGTCGAGGAGCAGCGCGGTCAGCGTGTCTGGCCACACCTGGGTGGAAATGTCTGCAATGGCGTTGAAGGAGAGCGTCAGCTCAGACAGCGAGCGCGGCCACTGCTGGCCAGACAGGTTGGAAATGTTGTTGCGGTCAAGCCGGAGCGTGGTCAGGGTGTAAGGCCAGCGCTGGGTGGAGATGTCGCCGATGCCTGTACCGTCAAGGAAGAGCTGCGTGAGGGTTTGCGGCCAGGACTGGTTGTAGATGCCGTCAAACCCCAGCGTGTTGTTTGTGAGCGAAAGAAACTCAAGGGTCGGCGGCCATGTCTGGTTGCGCACTGACGTGAGGTTGTTGTTGTCCAGGGTCAGGAAGCGCAGTGACTGTGGCCACACATGATGGTCAAAAGTGCTGAGCACGTTCCCTGCAAGGTAGAGCAGCGTCAGCTCTTCTGGCCAGGGCGTCGTGACGGTGGCGATGGAGTTGTTTGCCAAGCTCAAGCGCCTCAGGGTGGAAGGCCACACAAGGTGGTCGACCTGGCGAATGCTGTTTCTGTGCAGGAAAAGATCCATGAGGGACGGTGGCCAGTGATGCTGCTCGCCAATGGCGGTGATTGCGTTGTCTTGCAGATAGATGTTTTCTGCAGCAGGGGGCCAGCTCACGTTGGCTGGGATGCTGGTGATGCTGTTGTTGAAGAGGTTCACGCTTTCAACATTGCTAGGCAAGGCGACATTGTCAAGGGAGGTGATGCGGTTGTGCTGCAGAAAAAGGCCGAAAAGCGTTGCGGGCCACGTCGGGTTGGAGACATCTGAGATGTTGTTGGCCTGGAGGTCAAGCTGCTCCAAGGCGGGCGGCCAGGCCTGCCCCGCAAGGCTGGCGATGGCGTTGTGGCTGAGGATCAGCAGTGACATGGCGGACGACCACTGCTGCCCGTCGATGCTGGCGATGTTGTTGCGAGAGAGGTCGAGCGTGGTGAGGGTGGGTGGCCACGACTGGTTTGCGATGGAGGTGATGCTGTTCCACGCAAGCGTCAGGCCGGTCAAGCCTGCAGGTAACGGTGCGGCAGGGACTTGCTGGAAGCGGTTGCGGTCGAGTCGTAGGGATGACACCGTGGCAGGGAAACTGTTGACAGCAGTAGACGTGAGGGAGTTGTTGCTTAAGGCGATCTCCTGCATGGCCGCTGGCCAGGTCACGTTGGTGACGCTGGTGAGGTTGTTGCTGCTGACATAGAGGTACAGCAACGAGTCTGGGAACGCCTGGCTGTGGATGTGCTGCAGTTGGTTGAAGTCAAGGTCAAGGTAGTAGAGGTCGGCGGGCCATGCTGACAGCACATCATCAATGCTTGTGATGCGGTTGCCATCCAGCCTGATCCTCTGCACGCTGGCGGGCCAGGCATCGACGGTTGCGATGTTGTTGAAGCTGAACCAGGCATCCACCATGGCAGACGGCCACGTGACGTTGGAAATACTGTTGATGTTGCTGTGCTGCGCGTAGAGGTAGATGAGGGAGTCTGGGAACACCTGGTTGCTGATGCTGGTGATCTGGGTGTGTTCCAGCTCAAGACGGGCGAGGGTGGTTGGCCACACTTGGCCGTCCACAGACGACAGTGGATTGTAGGACAGATACAGGGTGTCGAGGTTTGCTGGCCAGGTGAGGCCGTGGACGGAGGAAATGCGGTTGTTGTTGAGCCGAATGTCGGTTGCGCTTGCTGGCAACGTGTCGATAAAGGTGATGTTGTTGTACCCGAGCCACAGCTGCTCCACGTGCGCCGGCCATGTGTTGTTGACGACGCTGGTGATGTTGTTGCGGCGGGCGTAGAGGTACAGAAGCGTGTCAGGAAAGACGTGGCCCTGCAAGCGGTCGATGCGGTTGTTTTCAACATTCAAGTATGCCAAGTTCGCCGGCCAGACCTGTCCTTCAAGCGCTTCGATATTGTTGCTGAAGAGCTGTAGCTCCTGCAAGGCGGACGGCCATGTCTGACCAGCGATGGAAGTGAGCCTGTTGTCGTCCAAGCGCAGCAAGGTGATTGTTGGCGGCCATGTTTGAGCCTGCACGGACGTGATGGCGTTGCTGTAAAGGGTGAGGGCCTGAAGCCTTGTTGGCCACGTCTGATTGTCGATGGACATGAGAAGGTTGTTGGACAGGGTCAGCCTGGTGATGTTGACGGGCCATGTCTGCCCGGCAATTGACGTGATGCTGTTGTCGCTGAGGAAGAGGTCTGCGAGGCCGGGCGGCCAGAGGTTGGGCGAAGAGCTCAGCGCGGTGATGGCGTTGTCGTTCAGGTACAGGTTGCGAAGCCCCGCCGGGAAGGAGTTGTTGACCACGGATGAGATTTTGTTGCCGTTGAGCCGAAGGTGTGTGATGCTTGTTTGCTTCCAGTTGTGGCCGCTGAGGGTTGTGAGAGCGTTGTGTGCGAGAGAGAGATCACGCAGCTCCTGCGGGAAAGCGCCGTCCGCAAACTGCGTGATGCCGTTGTATGACAGGTCCAACTTGTCGGTGGCATTGGGGAGTGCCGACTTGGCGGTGTGCACAAAGCAGGCGGCGATGTCGGCGTCGGTGATGTTTGCGTCTTGGATGGTGAGGGTGGTCAAGGTGTCTGGCCAGCGCGCAGAGCAAAGCCGCTCGTTGCCCAAGGGGTTGCCGGAGATGTCGATGGACACGCCGGCAGGGAGCGCAGCGAGGCAGGAGAGATTCTTCAGGTTTGTGTTGCTGAGGTCAATGGTGGCGAGAAAGGGTGGCCAGTGGGCGTCGCAAAGCGAAGCGTCGTCGATGGGGTTGTTGGAGAGGTCAATGTCGGTGACGTTTGGGCCGAAACGAAAGTTGGAGACGCTTGCGATGCCGCGACCTGAGAGATCGACGCCTTCGCTCGGGTCGCAGTAGTCAAATGAGCCAAACGCGCCGCAGGAAGCCGCGAGCTTGCACCAGGAGGAGAAGTGGGTGTTCGGAGGGTAGGGATAGCCGGTGGGAAAGGAGGGTGTTGGTCCGCCGCACGGCTCGACAAGCCCGCAGCCTGCAATCCGGATGGTTTCAGAGCATCCCGAGCCTGCGGTTGTCCACTGCGTGGCGCATGTGCAGTCTTGCAGCGTCGCCTGCGCCAGCACTCCGGTGTTGGACAAAGCCTGCAAGCACGCGTGCAGCAGCAGCAACGCGAAGCAAAGGAAGCCGCCCCGTCGCAGTGGCGGGACCGCCCGCTGCGTGGCCGCTGCTGGTGGCACAAGGCCTCCGCGACTGCAGCGTCGTGCTTGTGCTTGCACTTGCGCTTGTTGCTGAAGAGCTCGTGGTGTTGCTCGTGAACGCAGGCAGTCTGTTGAGCCTGCTGAGGCGGACGGCGCGGAGGCAACCACACCGCGACGCCGACGCAGTAGCGCGTGCGTTTTGGTGTGCATTGCTGGCGAGGCGTTTGTCTTTGTTGACCTGAAGCACGAGAGCAAACCGGTGCAAGTGTCGTGGAGAGGGAGATACCGTGAGTCCGTGAGTGAAAGGCGCGAAGGCAGGAACGAAGGGAGGGCGCTAAACACAAACGCACAGAAGGAGGGGGAGGGGATTCTGAGGGGAGCATGAGAAGGAAGTACAAACAGCACACAAACGCAGAGCGCAAGCCAGGTTCTCTGGGTCTGGTTGTCTTGTACCGTGGGGCTTGTAGTGGTGGTCCCAGTGGAGTAAGGGAGGTGGAAAATGAAATGAAGCGAAATGGACTGCTGCTGTGAGTGCTGTGCCAACGAAACGAAAGCCACCACCGCTGTGGCTCCTCTGCTGCTATTACAGTGGCAATGCAAAACAATAGAGGGCACACGTTGTGTAAGGGGGTGGGAAGAAGGGGGCGGAAACTCTTGGCAGGGTGTGTGTGTGTGTGTGGAGGGGGGGGGGAGGGCGTCGCTGGTTGCAAAATGCCGAAGGTTTGGTGTGGTGAAATTATGGTGGGGACTGTTGGAGGACAGTGGAAGTGCCTGTAAGTGCCGCAGAGAGCGAGCTAATTTTTCTTCGTTTCTTGCAGAATTCACGGAAATCTTCACCAGCAAAGCTGTGGGAAACTACGTGGAATACACGGTCACGGCGGGCGTTTTGTTTGTTTTGTTTGCTTGTTTGTTTGCTTGTGTTTGTGTGTTTGTTTGTTTGTTTGTTTGTTTTGTTTTGTTTGTGTGTTTGTTGTTGTTGTTGTGATGAGAAGAGAGGAGCGAAAGAACAGAACAACAGAACAACAGAACAACAGAACAACAGAAGAAGAACAGAAGAGATCATGACTGAAAGAAGCAGAAACCCTGCACTCAATGCAACGTGGGTTCCATCAGACGAAAAAGTCTGGGCAGAGTTCACTGTCGGGCAGTGTTGGATCCACCTTGTACTTCTGGAGATCACGCACACCCTACAGAGCAGCAGCAGCAGTCGATGTGTGCGTGTGGTGTGTGCAAAGGTGTGCAGGAAGTGGTGAGACATGATGGCACTTCCCTAATCACCCGCCTGTCCCTCCTCACACACAACACACACATACACACACACACAACACATACACACACACAACACACAAACAAGCAAGAAACCAAATGCCAAGCTTACCTCGGATGCAAGCACTTCGTCGTCAACAAAGAAGTTGCCCGTGCACTTGTCGCTGCGACGCGTCAGGATAAAGTGGGCTGCGTCCGCCATAATCTCCGGCTTGCGCGCACTGTTGCGGTGGCCGCGAATCACACCAGAAAGATGGAAGGTGTGGGTGAGTGGGTGGGGGACGGACTACACAACGTTTGTGCACAGAGAAGAGAAAAAGTTTTCAAGGCATGTTTCACACTACACGATACTCCACGACATTACACACACACACACACACGCACACACACAGACACACACACACACAGACACAGACACATACACATACACATATAGACACAGAGACCTACATCTTCATCATTGCATCACCACCGAGCACATTCTGCAGCGCAGCGGTGGCAATCGTCGTCCTGCATATATGGCCGGAGAGGTGACGAGCGTGTGCGTGTAAGCGTGCATGTATGACACCGCCCCCCACACAATAGTTGCGCCACGCGCGATTTGGTGGCAGCAAACAAAAGCGCGCGCACACACACGGACACACACGGACACACACACACACACACACACACAGACTGCGGCAGGCGCGTGTGTTACCGTGGCCAAAGGGCGTTGACGCCGATGTTAAAGGGCCGGAATTCCGCTGTTGTCATCATCAATCAACACGTGAGAAACAGCAGGGCAGTGTACTACAGCGCAGCATCATGGCTGGCGAAATCAAAGACGCCACATAAACACACACACACACACAATACACACAATACACACACACACACACACAATACACACTCAATACACACACAAGCAGGTGCAAACTCACCGCTGTGTCCGAGGACACACATGGCCATACCATACTTGGACGTGGTGTATGCGGTGTGGTGCTGGAACCTGTGACGGAGTGGTGACGGTTGGTAATGTGAGGGATATGCGTGCGCACAACAGGCACTTGCACCATGGCATGGGAGTATGAGCTTGTCCAATCATGCAAATGCTGCCATCACAAGATGCAAAGCATTTGGGAGCAGTGTGCAGGTGCATGCACGGGTGTGGTGGCACCATTTCTCATCCAGGTTGAAGAGCGGAGGCGCCAGCGTCAGCACATGCGCATTGTCGCTCTGTCGTGCAATCAAACAAAACCCAAAACCCGTGGTGGAAGAGAAGCAAGTGAGTCACGCGTGCGAATGTTCACGTGAACACCATCGGCCAGGCAGACAAACAAATGACACAAAGATTTAGGGGGGGGGGGAGCGGATTGTGGATCAGGCGTTCGCACACACCCGCGCAGATGCACGCAAACAGACACGGCAGCACAGCTGTGTGGATGGCTATGCCACCTAAATCTTGCATGCGTGCACCAGTGTACTGCACCTTCTTGAGGTGTGGGAGACAGAGCTTTGTGCACATGAATGTGCCACGCTCGTTGATGGTGTGCATCAGATCATACCGCTTCATCTCAACAGATTCAGTGTCTGTCATCGTGTGTGCGAGTGAGTGTGTGTGTGTTCATGCGTGCGTACGTGCGTGTGAGTGTATGTGTGTGAGTGTATGTGTGCGTGCGTGCGTGTGAGTTGCGGTGCATGTGGGCCAAGCGTGTACACATGCAATTGGTGTGGACACGGTGCGTGGCATAGATAGTCGCGAGAAAGCGTCAAACACAGACATAAACAATCACAGACAAAGGTACACAGACACACAGACACACATAGACACACACACATTATGATCGACTGCCCACCTGATGTGTTAATGGCGCTGGCGTTGTTGACGAGAATGTCGATACCGCCAAACTTGTCCACCGTCGCGTCAATAGCTGCGCGCACGCTGTCCTCAGACCGAATGTCGCCTGTGTCACACAGTATGAAGCATGTCATGTCATGAGTACCAACGCGGCTCCTCGCTGACGCGCACGATCCACGAGTACCAAAACACACACACAGACAGACAGACAGACAGACAGACAGACAGACACACACACACACACACAAACAAACAAACTCACAAACAAGCACATAAAAGCACACCTCGCACACACACACACACACAGACAGCACACACACAGACAGCACGCAACACGTACATTGGACTGGCAGCGCCTGCCCGCCCGCCTTCTCGATATCCTCTGCTGCGGTGTAAATAGTGCCTGGAAGCGCAGGGTGCGGCTCCACTGTCTTGGCAGCGATTGCCTGCAAGCAGAACATGAAGCAAACAAAAAAAACCATGTACGCAACCAAGCACAGGCAGGCACAAAAGGCGCAGGTATGAGCGAATGGTGCCCGAGATCACTGTGAACAGCATATCCGGCCCTGCGCACACACCTTCACAGTGGCACAGCGGCAAAACACAGGAGCGATGACATTACCACGTTGGCGCCGTCCTGGGCCGCACGCAGGGCAATTGCCAAGCCAATACCCCGACTGGCTCCAGTGACAAACTGATGGGAACGAGAAGGGCCGTTTCAATGTGAGGCTGAGAGGACGTGCTTCAAAGCGGGGAAGAAGGAGGAGAAGATGGAGAAGGAGGAGGAGGAGGAGGAGGGGGAGGAGCAGAGTTGTGTTGATGCAGAGTGGGTTGCTCCACTGCCGTGATGTGACACAACAAGCAGCAAGCAACGTCAAGCGCAGCAGCACAGTTGAGGGCAGCGTGCAAGCGTACCAAGGTTTTCCCCTTGAGACTCCGCTCGGGGAGCACATGGTCGTCCGGGACCTGGCCGTGTGAGTGGAGTGTCGCGAAGCACGATGATGGTGGGAGGTGAGCTTTGCAAGTCAAAGGCATGAGGATGGAGTGTGTGGGGTGTGCGTGGTGTGACGACAATGTTCCTCAACTCCAGATCACACTGCACACAGATACAAACAGAAACATACACAGAAACAGACACAGACAAAAACAGACACAGACACAGACACACACAGAACCCACCACCACAACCGCACATACACACACAGAACCCACCACCACAACCGCACATACACACACAGAACCCACCACCACAACCGCACACAGCCTCAACCTTTTTGTTTACATTTGTTCCAATGGTACCTTTGGGATGCGTTTCATTGCCCATCCACCCGCAAGGAGATCGGGAACAACAGACATGTGACGCGCAATCGTTGAAGCGCGACGCGCAGCGCTTCCGGCTGCCTTTGACACAGGCAAGGCCATCCTCGATGAAGGATCAATGGTTGTTGTGCGCTCACAAAAGGCGAGGTCAACAGACAGAAGGGTCGGTCAGTGGCGGCTGGTGGATGGATGATTGATGATGATGACAGCGATCGATTGCTGCCTTTCTTCCTTTCTCCTCCCTTGCCTGAAACCGACGATTGTTTGCAATGATGCTTATCAATTTTCCCTTCACTCTGCACAAAAAAACCGACAAGCAACCAACCAACAACGACAAAGAGAACAAGAACGAAGCAACCACCAAACGGACGACACGCCAGACCTGAGCTGAGCAGCCCCTTCCTTCTTCTCTGTCTCTGTGCAGACGCTTCACCTTCCTGCGCGTTCCCCGGTGCCAGCAACACCTTGACACGACATCGTTCGTTGTATCCAGCGCGGTCATGGCCATGGACCCATCACGACAACAGGCGCTCGGCCGTTACAGGCGGCATCTCCTGGAGCGCCAGGAGCTCGACGCCAGATATCGTGCATGTACGTGGCGTGCAAACAATGCAGCTGTGTGCGCCTGTGCGCGTGCGTGTGTGTGTGTGTGTGCGTGTGTGTTGATGTGGGTGTGCCTGCGGCAGTTATATACGCGCACACACATGCACACTCTTGCGGGTTGTGCGCGCGTATGTATGTGCGGCAAAAGTGACGTGAACGTGGCTTTCCATGATGTCGCCACAGTTGCTGTTGTGTTTACATTGTGAGGCTGGCGTTGGTTGCCGTCGTTGTCGCTTGGCCTGTCGACGGCTCATTTGTTGCTGTGATCGAATGGGACTCGCCCTTGCTTGTGAAACCTGTTTCTATCGCCAGGCCAAGAGAAGCACCAAGAACTGCTCAAACAGTACGATGAGTCTGAGGAGGCAATCAAGACGTTGCAAAGCGTTGGACAGGTGCGGGGACCGAGAGAAACCGCTGTGTGCGCATGTTTGCATGTTTGTGTGTATGTGTGTGTGTGTTTGTGTGTGTGTGTGTGTGTGTGTGTGCGTATTTTGCTTTGCGTGTGTGTGCATGTTTTGCTTGTTTGTGTGCATGTTTGTGTACATTTGAATGCACGCGTGTTTTGCTTTGATCCCTTACCTCACCCTTTCCTCATCTCCTCTCCCTTACACCGGCACACACACACACACACGTGTCTCGCTCACGCACCAGATCATTGGCGAAGTGCTTAAGCAGCTGGATGAAGAGAAATGTGCGTGCCTCACAAGTGATCCTGTTGTCGCATGTTTGATAGCATGCAGACCGCAATGGTTGCTCGTGTGTTGGCTTTGAGACTACCCTTCTTTTCCACACTCACTCTGCACAACAACTCATCACATCGCACCTACAGTCATTGTCAAGGCGTCCAGCGGACCGCGCTACGTCGTCGCATGCAGACGAGGGGTACGTTGTATCCATATGTGTTTGTTTGCATGTGTTTGTTTGTTCGTTTGGTTGTGTTTGTTTGTGTTGGTTTGTCTTGTGTGTGTGTGTGTGTGTGTGTGTGTGTGTGTGTGTGTGTGAAAACGGTTCAAAGCTTGGTTGCACCCAGTCCCACAGGCTCACACACGTTGGTGCTCGATCGTTCTTTCGGCTTCTCTCGTCTTTCTCTCGGCTTCTCTCGTCTTTCTTCCTGTGGTGCAGCTGGACCGCAGCAAGCTCAAGCAAGGCACACGTGTCACCCTCGACATGACAACGCTCACCATCATGCGGTGCGTCTCGTGCACGTGTGCGTATGCGTATGTGTGCGTGTGCGTGTGCGTGTGCGTGTGCGTGCGTCATGGGTGAGGACTTATGATCAGCGCCTGGCAATTTCAGCACCCCTCCCCCTCTCTTACACACCCACCCATACACACGCATACGTACATGTCTTGTGCTGCCTTCCCCCTATTCACCAAACGCGCAGGATTTTGCCGCGGGAGGTTGACCCGTTGGTGTACAACATGACGGCAGAGGATCCGGGCAACGTGCAGTACAACTCAATCGGTGGCCTCTCCAAGCAAGTCCGCGAACTCAGAGAGGTGCGTTGGGTGTCGTGGATTCTTGCTCGCTTCACTTTTCTCCCCGTTGTGTTTTGTTCTGACTGTTTGTGCTTCGTTTCCACAGTGTGTTTGCGACGCCTCTGCCCGGCACACTTCTCCCCCGCGCACACCTCCGGCCCCACACCCTTGCCTCACCTCACCTCACCTCACCTCACCTCACCCGTGTGTATCGCTACAACTGACCACGTGTCACCTCTCGATCCTTTGCCTCGGCCCCGGCTGCAGGTGATTGAGCTGCCACTGAAGAACCCTGAGCTGTTTCTGCGCGTTGGCGTGAATCCGCCCAAAGGCTGTCTGCTGTACGGCCCGCCCGGCACAGGCAAGACCCTCCTCGCCCGCGCCGTCGCTTCAAACGTCGAGGCTTCCTTCCTCAAGGTGTGCGCGTGTAGTTGGCCTCTGTGTGTGTGTGTGTGTGTGTGTGTGTGTGTGTGTGTTAGTGTGTGTGTTTGAGTGCGTTAGTGTGTGTGTGTGTTAGTGTGTGTGTTTGTGTGCGTTAGTGTGTGTGTTTGTGTGCGTTAGTGTGCTTGCCTAAATGCGCGCGTGTGTGCTTGTTTGAGTGAACTTGCCTGAGCGTGTGCGCGTGTGATGGTGTATTTGACTCAAGGGCCCTCGTGTTGTTGTGTTTTGCTGTCATCCCTGCAGGTTGTTTCCAGCGCCATTGTTGACAAGTACATTGGCGAGAGTGCGCGCATGATCCGCGAGATGTTCGGTGCGTCGTCTCGTGTGCAGTCGCAAACCACTCGTCTTTGCCTGCAGCACGTACTCACGCTCACACATATCCGCACGTCTCCACTTCTCACATCCATACCCCGGCGGCTGCCACGATGTGCTCTTGTGTGCGCTTGTGTGCTTGTGCATAGGGTATGCGCGGGACCACGAGCCGTGCATCATCTTCATGGACGAGATTGACGCCATTGGCGGGCGCCGCTTCTCCGAGGGCACGTCCGCGGACCGCGAGATCCAGCGAACCCTCATGGAGGTGCAGCGTGCCCCACCAACACACCAACACAACCGCAACAACACCAACACACCAACACAAACACACCAACACAAACGCAACGACGCTAATACCAGCAGTACTTGCTTGACTGCGTTGAAGGGGTAGTCGGTGGGTGGTTGTGCGTTTGCGGATGTCATCATAGAGTTTGTCTCATTCATTTTTAACGAGCCATGTGTTTCGTCGCTCACCCCTCTTCTCCACTCTATCGACTTCTCTTCCTCACACACACACGCACACACGATGCGCTGCATCCATTTGTCCATGCCTGCATTCGTTTTGCTCCTGGTGTGCAGCTGCTGCACCAGCTTGATGGGTTTGACACGCTTGGCAAGGTGAAGATCATCATGGCCACCAACAGGCCCGACACGCTCGACCCCGCCCTCCTCCGCCCAGGCCGCCTGGACAGGAAAATCGGTTCGCATGACGCCTTGTGCTGAGCGTGTGTGCATGCGCGCATATCTTGCGTTTCTGTGGTGTCTGCCGCTTCTCGCACGCATCCTATCAATCATCCTCCCACAACACCACAACCACCACGACCACCACCACGACCACCACGACCACCATGACCACCATGACGACAACCACTTCGACTAACATCATCGCTGCCATTCCCACCCGCTTTCGCCCCTGTCTCTGTTGCAGAGATTCCGCTGCCGAACGAGCAGGCGCGGCTTGAGATTCTGAAGATCCACACGAAGCCAATCACGACCAAGGGCGACATTGACTTTGAGGCCGTTGCCAAGCTCTCCGACGGCTTCAACGGCGCCGATCTCCGAAACGTCTGCACAGAGGCTGGTCAGTCGTGTGTGTGTGTGTTTGTGGAAGTGAGTGTGTGTTGTGTTTGTGGAAGTGAGTGTGTGTTGTGTTTGTGGAAGTGAGTGTGTGTTGTGTTTGTGAAAGTGAGTGTGGTGTGGTGTTGTGTGTTGTGTGTTGTGTTGTGTTGTGTTGTTGAAAGTGAGTGTGCGCGCGTGGAGTGTGTCGTGTGGTGTTGTGTGTTCTTGTACACTTTGTGTCTACGCGTTGCATGTGAACCGCCTGGCGGCTGACGGAACGACGCTCTTGTCTTGGATGTTGCCAGGCATGTTTGCGTTGCGCGCTGATCGCACGTATGTGTTGGACGAGGACTTTGCCAAGGCGGCGCGCAAGGTGTGTTGAGCTGCATCTGTGAAGTGGATTCAAACCGAAAGGCAGTTCTGCGTGGGGAGGGTCCTGGAGTGGAAAGCAGGAGGGGGAAGGGCGGACAACACCTCGCGTGTGCGTCTTGCTCTTTGTCGTGGTCTTCCTGAACGTGATGATTGGTGTCTTGGGGGTTTTCCTCACTACCTGCACCCACAAACAATGGCGCGGTTTCCAACCATTCAGGTGGCGGAGAACAAGAAGCTTGAGTCCACGCTGGAGTACAAGAAGGTGTAAAGCCGCGCAAGGCCATGACACGGCCAATCCCCACCACCACAAGTCCCTGCACACTGCTGCCACGATGCTGCAAACACACAGCTCCACCACACCGTGTTCTGCCAATCTCTTTGTGTTGCAGTCTGTTGAATTGAACAACAACCGCCTGCCTGTTGACCAACCACAAGTAAGCGCCAACGCACACACGCAGGAGTCAGGGAGAGGGAAAGGAACGACAGAACGGAGGGAAGGGAGGTATGGGGGGGGGGAGGGAGGGAAGGGACGAGGTTGAAGGCACACCACAAGGACTGCCACTGCCGCACTTTGTGCGAACGAAAAAAAAAACTGGAACGGAAATGGAAGAAGAAGAAGAAGACAGGAGCAACTTTGCCACGACACAGCATTGCCACTGCACACAACTTGCTGCTTCACCCCACTTCCATCCATCCTTCCATCCATCCACACAGCACAGGCAGACGGGCATGGCGACAACGAAGCGGGTGCTCAACTTCTCCGCAGGGCCTGCACGGCTGCCCTTGCCTGTGCTTGAGCGCGTGAGCACCGAGCTCTTCAACTGGCATGGCTGCGGCATGAGCGTCATGGGTGAGTGTGAGAGAGAGAGAGAGAGAGAGAGAGAGAGAGAGAGAGAGAGAGAGAGAGAGAGAGAGAGAGAGAGAGAGAGAGAGAGAGAGAGAGAGTGTGTGTGTGTGTGTGTGTGTGTGTGTGTGTGTGTGTCTATTGTATGTGTATTGTGTGTGTGATCTTGTATGCGTGTGATGGCGATGATGATGATGGCGATGGTGATGATGATGGGGGTGATGCTGAGGACGATGCACATGCCTGAGTCCTTCGCCTTTGAACCAGAGACACGCCCCCCCCCCCCTCTCCTGCTTGCGCTGTCAACGCCCTTCTCCTCACTCACCCCTGCGTGGTTGTTTCTTGGTGGTAGAGATGAGCCATCGTGGAAAGGACTTCAAGTCAATCATCGAGAAGGCCGAGGCAGACCTGCGCAAGCTCATGTGAGATCGACAACTTCACGCTCACCAGCCCAGACTACCTCCCCTTCCAATCAAACAAACGCTCACACGCATGGCTTGTGTTTGTAAACATGTGCATCGCAGGTCCATCCCAGACAACTACAAGGTCCTCTTTCTACAAGGAGGCGCCACGGCCCAGTTTGCCGCAGTGCCGCTGAACCTGACATCCGGTGAGCCCATCACTCACACGCACTGTCGGTGCTTCTACTACCGCTGCTGTTGTGAGTCACCACTCTACATCAATGGCTGCAAGCTCATGCTTATGCACGCACACATGTGTTTGGTTCATCTGCAGATTCTTCCGCTGTTGCCGACTACATTGTCTCTGGCGGGTGGTCGGCGAAGGCCGAGAAGGAGGTACCGAACCCCACAATGACCGTTGCAATGGCTGTGGCAGTGGTCAAGGGGGGGGGGGTGCTGCCTCGCATAACATGTCTCACACCTCCACACGCTGCGTGTTGTTGTATCACAGGCACACAAGTTCTGCAAGACACATGTCGTCAACCCCATCGTGGACAAGTACACAGGTGTGGTGCGCGTGCCCGATGGCGCCTGCTCCTGCTGCCGCCGTTGAAGATCGTGCTTCCGGCACCGCTCTTTGAGCAACCAAGAGCTCACATCAGTCCATCCCACTGCGCACATCATTCCAAACCACCACATGACCAGACATTGCCGATGAGAGCACATTCAACTTCTCAGAGAAGCCCGCATATGTGTACTACTGTGATAACGAAACTGTCTTTGGCGTCGAGTTCCCACACGTCCCAGCCGTTCCAGGTGTGCTTGCATGCACGTGTGTGTGTGTGTGTACGTGTGTGTGTGTGTGTGTGGGGGGGGGGGTGATGGCGATTCGTGTTCTTGTCGTGCGTTCACGCCTCTCACTGCACAACACGTGACATTGGCTCCCCATCCCCTCCCCGTGTCTCAGAGGGCGTGGAGCGGGTGTGCGACATGTCTTCAAATTTCCTCACTCGCCGCGTCGACGTCTCGAAGGTCAACACGCATGGTTGTGCGTGCGAGTGTGTGTGTGTGTGTGTGTGTGTCGCGATCACATGCCGTTGCATGTGCACACACACACACACACACACTCGCACACACACACACACACACACACACACACACACACACACACACACACACACACACACACACACAC